GGGTTCTCTCAGGGCACGACTTGACTATGTGAGCTTCAATTAGCTAAAATATGACAGCTTCTGGATCTGAATATAACTTCTACTGGAACTGAGATTGAGCACAACTGATGAAAGAAGAAAGTAAACCCTCCATACCTCAGACTCTATGGTGTCTTCAAAATGAGGCGGAATCCGAATGGAAAAGCCATCACCGAAGAGCTGGAACCAAGACTTGGTGTTGGCAATGCCTGATAGAAAAGAATTAGAGGATGATGATGAAGACTGGGGTGGAGGTGGTGCCTCGGCAGAGGATACTGGAAGCGGGTGTTGAAGGGGCAAGTAGAGAAAAGAGCTCAGCGAAACGGAGCTCGTGAAGAACAGAAACCTTCTTGAGAGGGAGTTGGGTTTTGGAGAGACGATGGGTTCTGAAATGGAATTGGCTATGGGTGTTAGAGGGTTGGGAGCGAGGGAGAGAAGGGTAGACATGGCCATGGGAGCATGGAGATTGGGATGGGATGATGATTACGGAGTATAAAACTTTAAAGTAAATTAATAAAAGGTTTATAAGTCCTTTTACCCCTACATACTCCACTCCGTCTCACTTTTTTTGTCTACTTACCTTTTGGTATACTATCCAATGTATTTCTTTAATACATTTTATCTTATAATTTGTATATTAAAAATTTATAGAAATTATATATTAATAATCTATATGTTAAGACAAATCAAACAAGATCACACATAACTATATTTAGGCTTACACATTGAGATAATTTGATGAGTCAAAGTGCTTAGATGAACAGTTCCAAAAGTAAAAAATAGACAAAGAGAGTGCGACGGAAGTAGTATCAGATATTATTAATTTAATCCCAAATTATTATATCATTTTCCACGAATGGTCCTTTGTTAACGTTTTTGTTTAGAACACGGATAAAATTGTATATTTTTACTTTTCTCTCCTCAATTAAGCTCCCCCCCTCATCTCGTACTCTTTCCCAAACTCGTCACTGTGTTTGAAGCTCTAAACCCAAAACTGAAATGTTCATTCCTCTCTCAACTATTAGTCTTCCTCGTGGAACCTAAAATCAAAATCAATAAGCTTTATGGATGAGTCTTATCGGTTAGTCTCATGAAATTGCAAAGAAAATAAACATTAAAACTCATCCATGAAGGTTACGGGTTTCGAATTTGGGTTCCACTAGTTAGACAAACAACTGAGAGAAGAGTAATGATTTCGGTTTTGGTTTCAAAGCTTCAAGCTCAACGACGGGTTTGGGAAAAGAATGCGAGGGGAGGAAGGAAAATTAATTGAGGAGAGAAAGGAGTGTGAATTTAAAATTTTATCCACACGAACGTTCTTAACGGAAATGTTAACAAAGGACCATTTGTGGAAATGAATATAATAATTGGGGACTAAATTAGTAATATTTGATATGTAGGGACTAAATATGTAAAACGACCTATAATTGGGGACCTTTTATGGAATTTACTCAAAACTTTCAAACTAGATTTTAAATATGTGTGGATGGGAAAAACGGGAAGAAATTGGAAAATTTTGGAAAGAATTGAAAAAAATTGAATAAATTGAAAGTAACTTAGAAGAAACTAGAATGAATTGGAAGAAACCGACAAAAATTAAAAAGAATTGAAAAAAATTACTCCGGTAGAAATTTAATTTTTTTTGTGTATTTTTATATTATTTTCATTCTAATTCTTATTGTTATAAATTATTGTTATTGTTGTTGTTATCATCACGTTATCTTAATGAATGCCTTTAAGATAAAAAATATTGTTATTTTTCATACACAAAACCTACTTTTGCACTATAGGATGCCTAAAATTAAACAGAAGCACCAAATTCAAATTGTTATTGCAACACGCACTTTGCACAATTTCATTCATCTTCATAAAAAAGGAATACCAATTTTACCGAGACAGCAAACAACGGAAGTGATGGCTATAAACCACCGAGAATAAAGAATAATCATAAGTTTTAGAGAGAGAGAATGCAAAGTAGGAGTTTGTTTCTTTCAAACTTCGATCCATTACAATGAGGGGTCTCGCCCCTTTTATAGGGGATACAATACACATAGTCAAAGTTTCTCTGATTGAGGTTCGTCTCCTAGCGAACGTCATCTCTGTTATGCGTTGTCCCTTTCATCCCGTCGCTATCGCACAGTCAACGCAGCCGGTCGCTTTCCTTCCGTCGCTGTCACAATGCCTAGCCGAGCTCACAGGCCGAGCCGAGCCCGTAAGACGAGCCGAGCTCAAAGCCCGAGTAGAAAGCTTTTCCACGTGGCTGATGGGGTCCGGCTGACGTGTATTTTGGAGTCATCCTCCATCATAAGCCCCCCACTCTCCGGGTTTCGTTGCAGCCGGCGATGGAACCCGAGAGAGTATGGGTACTGTAGGAAACGGTGCGGGGCCCACGTGGAGCAGTTAGCGGGTCATTGGTGCCATTTGGGCTTCGCCATCATGAAGGGATGCGCCGTTTTGCCTCCCTAGGCCAAGTGGCGGCCCATCATTGCACCCATTCAACCCTTCCCCTATAAATATCAACCCTACCCTCTTCATTCTCCACCTTTTAGAGAGAGAGTAGATTTCTTCGCCGTCGCCAGCCATCTCGCTGCCGTTCACGTTCGCTTTCCGGCTCCGTACTAGGTTAGTCTTCCTCGTCCTTGTTCTTCCATGTCTTCCCAATCCTCAGTATTTCGTCAGTCCGAGTCCGTGCGCAGCGCCGAGGGCTCTGTCATCGACTCCGCACAGGAGAGCGGCTCCTGCTCGCCTTCCGTCGAGGAGATAGTCGCGGCGGTCGAAGTCCCTCTTCGGTCCGAGCCTCGCAACCAGAGGCGGACCACTCTTGAAGACTCGGGGATCTGAGCGCAGAAGTGCACCCTGACCTGGGAGGAGTTCCGCAAGGCGAAGTGCCTAACCTCGGCGCCGGGTGTTACTGTTGGAGTTGTGCCTTGATGGCCAACTGTTTATCATTATTCTATCATGTATAGGCAGATATAATATGTTTACACATCTCATGCTAATGTAAACAAATATTATATTCCTAGATTTATATTTAAAGATGTTTATCAGATAGTGTTATTCTGCTGATGAGACTAACATCTTGAAATAAATATTTATCTAAATGTCCATAGTCGAGTATTAACGAGAGTGGGATATCGTTAATGCATGTGAGACTAGTGTGTGTTGGATGTTTGACTTAGTCTCATAGTCAATGAAAGTGTGTTCGCATCCGCACATGGGCAGATATTATCTAGAGATAATAGGATGCCGGACTGACCCATCCTAAAGATGTTGCTTGAATTTTTAGTTCATGCTCTAAATATCTTTAGAGCGACCACGGGTGTAACTATCCTTCGACTTGAAGTATTACGTTTTCTGCATATGTGAACCCACATACTTTGATGCATTGTCCTAAGCCATATGAAATAAGGATGGTAT